GGTTGGCAAGCACTTTGGGAAAGGGGAGTCTTGGGAGCGCCTGTCCTTTCCTGTTCTCGGGATTAGGCAGCACCCCTTCCATGGAGCCCATCTGGCTTTAGAATCTGTGTTCATTTGAGATATATTAAAATGCCTCCATTACGTTTGGTGTATGAACTGACTGGAGTGTTCAGTGGTCTGTGCTCCACCTGGTGCGGTCTCCCCTCCCTATCCGAGAGATTGAGAGGAACACTGGGGTGCATCTATAAAGGTTTATTTTCTTTGGGACAGGGGTGGGAAGAGATGTTCAGAGTGGCCGCTGAAGGCAGCTCAAACCCTGACTGGCCTTCTGGGCTGGGCGGGCCTCAGTGCCCCAGCTATCTGCAGCAGGTGGGCTCCTCCGGCTGGGTGGCGTTGCTCCTGTCGTGGGCTCCCCTGCTTCGGTCAAAGGCAGGGCGGCCCGCGGGGTCGCTGGTGCACTTATCTGTGGGAAGGACCATAACAGTGTGGGCATCCTGGGGGGTGCACAGAGCTCCGGAACCTCCACCCCTGGGTCCCCTGCAGGCACCCACCCCGCCAACCCTCCCCAGTAGCTCACCTGCGTTTCAGCCTCAGCCTGGGGGGCTTTTGCTGCTCCTCTTCCAGCACAGCTTCAGAATGTGCTTGCCTGGCCACGTTGGAAGTTTCTTGTGGAAGCAGTGCAGCATTTCCATGTTCCTCCTGAACCTCATTGTCTTCTCCTGGGAGTTGATTAAAATTCTCAGTCGGTGCCTTATCTTGTGGCTCTGGTACTGCAGGGATGGATGCAGGTGAGTGCGATCAGGGAGGCGGTGGGAAAAGTAGGGGCATGCACCAGGCCAGGCAGGTGCAAGGAGTACATGCTGGGCTTCAGGGTGCCAGAGTGCAAGTGATAATCATGGGACTGAGGTCCTGGGGGAAGACGGATCTGAAGAGAGGTCAAGGGCGGGTGCAAAATGGACAAAACACTTCCATTTTCAGGCGACAGAAGACCAGTTCTCAGTAACAGCCCACAGCATCCTCATCTTTATTTGTGGGACAGGTCTCCCCATGGGATACCGCAGGAGACCTTCTCTCCAACTCTGGGGACATCACTGGTGTGCCCTCCTCTGTCATCTGCCTATTATATAACTATTGCATAACTTCCTTTGCCCCATTATGTAAATTTCATCCCTAGGCCCTTGCAGAGGGCCCCTGACCATATGCAGAGCACACATGAACATTTTCTCCCATTTCTGGCTTTGCCCTTGCAACCTACCACCAACCTGGTAGTCCTCACTTGGATACATGATCCAATGCTCACCCTACTGTAGCCACCCAGATGGCTTTCAGGGCCCTGAACTCTGGGGAGAACATGAAAACCTGGTACCTCAGACCTTCAAAGAAGCCAACACACAGTAGGGAGGCTGTAGGGTTGCCCACCTGCCCAGTCTCCCTTATTCTACAGCTCCACATAGAGCCACCTGTGGCCTGGGCAGAACTGATCAGATTTCCTTCAGCTCTGTCATAGCTGGAATTAAAAGGAATTGGCTGGGGCTGGGGCTGTAGCTCAGTGGCAGGGTGCTTGCCTCGCGTGCATGAGGCACTGAGTTCGATAAATAAAAGAAAGGCATTCTGTCCATCTACAACTATAAAAAAATTTTAAACAACAACAAAAAAAAAGGAGAATCAGCTGGACATACGGCAAAAGAGAATTGGACTAGGTGTCTAGCAGAACCTCCTTACAGGTACTTGAGTGGTCCTTCTTCTAAGGCCAGCTTAGATCAGTAGCCATTTGAATGTGAGGTCAGCTAGCTGTGGCTGAGAGCAGCTGGTGCTTGGTGGAGAAGACCTAGAATTGCAGGTGGGACAGAACCGCCAATCCTCTAACTAGTCCAGATGAGAGGACCCAAGAGGCCCAGCAGAGGCCTCCCCACTGCATTCTCCCTGATCCAACCCCAAGCCCAGTTACTGGAAAAGCATCTCTCTCTCAATTTCTTGCATCCCACACGTGGATGGGATCCGTGTCCAGCAGCCCCTTCTACCCCTCAAGACTGGCTTCTCCCAAGGACTCCCTCTTTCCTAGCCCCTGTCCATCCTTAGGCACTGACCACGGCTGGCATACTAAGATGGTCCACAGTAGTACCTGGGTCGTCTCCATTCTCAATCATGATCTTTTTGCCCCCGCTTGGGCACATCTGAATGTAGCACGCAGAAGTGAAGGCCAGCAGGCCAAGGAAGCAGGCGGGCAGCAGAGTGCTGGGCATCCTGTTGCTCCCGGTGAGGCCAGGGAACAGAGCTCGTGGACGGGCTGTGTGCTGCTGCCTTGGTGGTTTATCTATTTATGTGGGATGGTGTTCCCTCAGAGACAATGTGGCAGCCACCTGTGTCATCCTAAGAAAAAGAGCAAGACAGTAAAACACCATGTCCCTGAAACGCCCCTTTCCGTTCCCAAGGAGCTAGCCAACTAGCTCCAGACATGAATGTCTGTATAGGTATTATCTTGAAGAATTCTCTCTCTCTCTCTCTCTCTCTCTCTCTCTCTCTCTCTTTCTCTGGCACTAATGACTATAGCAAACAAGTGCTACCTGTAGAAACTGCTTTCTTGGACATTCATGAAGCTGCTTGGGATGCTGGCTCTATGATGTGACAACATAAGCTACGACGTCACTATTTCTGACCTAACCTATAACCCCCTCTCCCTGTCTGGTGTGGAATCCAGCACTGTGCTCTTCCAGGCCGCCATCACTGTGAAAGACAGAGGTGCTATGAGTCTTGCCTGTCGTCAAGGGACCTCTCCTGAAAGAGGTGTCCAACATCCTGTGCATCGCACTCCATCTCAGGGCGTGTTCCTGGAGTCTTAGAAAAGTATCCACTGCCCCAGCACAACTGGCTGGGACATAACCAGCTCCTTTCCCCGAGGCTGGCACAGCCACCAGGCCCCAAGCCACCTGCAGTGTTTCAGGCATCTGAGCGCACACTTCAGTCTGTCTGAGCAGAATATGGAAAAGGAAGGGCTCAGGTGACCAGAATTTTATTGACCACACTGTGATACAAACTGCGGTAGTTATGACTCAGATTTGGGAAGAGGGACAGACAGGGTGTCACCTGGAGATCATCTTTGAGCACTCTGGCTGTTCAGAAGAGGCTGAGGGTCAAAGAGCCCTTTCCACCTATCAGAGCCCTAGAGTGGGGGCAGAAGAATGTAGGGGCTGCTGTGTTCAGAGAAGAGTCAGGCTCCAGCCTGGGAGCGGTGATGTAAGGGACAGCCATGCCTGTCACCTTGAGAATTTCTCGGAAAGCGGTTTTCAACAACCTGTGTATCACAATCCATCTCAGGGTGTCTTCCTTGGGATCTCACCAAATTATACCACCTCCATACCACAAGTGGACATTACAAAAGCCCTTCTGGAAGCCTTTCATGGCTACTAGTCCCAAACCATCTGCACTGATTCAGGTGTGTGGAGACACACATGGGTTTATCTGTGCAGAAGATGGTAGAGGATGGGGTGCAGGCCACTGGAATGTCATTGGCCACAGAAACTGCCGTGACTGTGACTCTGAATTTGGGGCAGAAGACCAGAGTTCACTTAAAGACCACCTCCAAGCACTCTTGCTATTCAGAAGAGGCTGGGGTTCAAATGGCCTCTTGCGTCTGACAAAGCCCCTAGAGTGAGGACAGGAGGATTTAAGGAGCTGGTGTGTTTGTTAGGAGCAGAGTGGGCCTCCAGGCTAGGACTGGTGATGCAGGGGACAGCCAGGGTTGTGGGGTTCCATTCAGTTAGCACTGTTGCAGGACAAGTGACCAGGAAAGACACCCCTAGTATGGCCAGTTCAAAGGTTTTGAAAAGAGAGTTCATGCCAGCAGCCTCATGGGCAAGGTAGCACCACTGTCATGGAGTCAAAAGTAGGCCACAGAAGCCCAGGGGATTGTTCCCAAGGGGAGGGATATGGAGGGACATGGCAGACTTCAGGGAGAAGCTGAGGATGCTCCTACCACCCACACACCACCACAGGGCACAGTTCAGGGACTCAGGCCCTGAGACTGGGAGCATTATGGAAACAACTTGTGGCATGTCCCCCCTCTTATCCCTCATAGTCAGGAACATTGGTTTTGGGAAGCTACTCGGAGGAGCAAGATCTCTAGGTCCTGTAAGGCTCAGAGGTACACAAATACCTCCTAGACCTGAGCATCACCTACTCCAACTCTAGGAACCTAGTCAAGTACTGACAGAGCCTTTAGTGGTTGGGGAAAGTCTCACTGTGTTGACTGGCTACATTTCAAATATAGCATCTCATGGACCCCAGACAATCCACATTCCTACTACACTTCCCTTGTAATTATGCCTTTGGTGCCTCAACTCCTGATTTTGAGTCATACATCTTTTAAAAAGGGAAGACTTAGCTCTTTAACCCTTCCCTATCACATGTACCCTCCATCCACTGTCTCCTTCATACAATGGTGTCATGAAGGTTAGAGCAGTATTACCATTTTGGTTGATATCACACCCTTCTGAGGTAAGCCATTTGGTTTATATGATGATGCTTCAATCTCAGAACAGCTTTATGTGTTTCCTGGAGTTAGAGATCAACTTGATTTTTTGGTTCATTTACCATGTTTATCTGCAAGCCAATATTCATTCTTCAACTTTCTCCACTCAGGCTTCTGCCCAGACCAGCACACTAAAACTCCTGTTATCAAGGTCATAAATTTGTTGCCAGACTTGGTAGGCGAGACCAAATCCTCATTGTCCATACTCCATGAGCAGCATTCAACATGGTTGCTTTGGTCCTTTCCTTGATGCACACTTCCTTTGACTCCAGTGATATTACATTTACCTGGCTTTTCTTCCCTCATACTGGACACCTTCCCAGTGTGTCCTTTCCTGAAGTTACACCTGCCCATTGACACCTCTCTGTGGATATCCACTGGGCCTCTGAGACTTAACCTAGTCAAACTGGGCTCTGGATTCTCTGCTGCCCCCTGCATTTCCCAAGCTTCCCCAACTCTGCCATCAACCACCATCCCACCAGCTGCTCCTCCCACACCTGACCCTCACCCTACTCACCCTGCTCCTACTCTTCCCTCACCCTTGTCAGTCCTACCTCTCACATGCGTCACAACTCTGTCTGCTTCTTCCCACTCCTGCTTTGGGATCCCAGAACCTGCCATTTCTTTGTCCCAGAAGGCTCTGCTCCTCTCACCCCTCCTCAGGATCCTCTTGATAGGATTATATGACTGCTATAAAGGAACCTGCCCTAAGACTATGCCTTAGGGGATCATTTCTAGAGTTCATTCCTAGAGAAGTTTCTCTGATCTTGAAGAATACTGGAAACCACGAGGAAGATGTCCTCCTGAGGGACATCTCTTGGTGTTGCTTTACTGAAACTGCCTTTTACCATTGATGACTGTTCTTCTCTTTAGAGGGGTGACAAGGGAGAAATGCAAATCTCCAGATTAAACCCCAAGTCTCTTAACTTTTTTTAAAGTACTCCCCTACACTTTAGTCTAGGTTGTGTGAGAACAGGTAACAACAGTTCTTTTGAAACATTCATTTCAGCAGACCATCTGCCCCTCCCCACCCTCCTGTGTCTTTCTCTCCTCTCATGTGCACCATCTAGTGGCCCTGCCAGTGTCCCAGGGGCTGGGCCTCATTTTCAGATGGACTCTGCTGCCAGCAGCAGCACAGCTTTCTCTCTTCCTCCATTTTCCATTTGTCTCACCTGAAGACTCTCCACCATGAAGACACAGGAATGGTCTGTAACTGTGAAGAGGTGAACAGCAGGGACCAAAATTATAGGAGCCCAAGAGGGCACCTCGTGTGCGATGGAAACATTTGAGGATCATGCTGGTCCTGAGTCAGACAGCTATGGAACTGAGGTGGATCCCACCATGACTAAGCAAAGAGTCAGCACCCTGGCGCTACTTGTCATCTAGCTCCTGGACGAATGAGGCGGGAGGATCTCAACTTCCAGGCCAGCCTTGGCAACTTAGCAAGACCCAGACTCAAAGAAAAATAAAAGTTCTGAAGATTCAGTTCAATGGTAGAGCCCTTGCCCAGCAGGTTGGGGGCCCTGGAGTGGATCCCCTGCACTGCAAAACACCCACTGTCCTGCCTTGATGCTTGTGGCATCTCTCCTCACCATTGCCCAGGGCTCTGAGGTCATGGCCAGGAGGACGTTGACACCAACCACCCTTAGAAATGTGAGAACAGGCACCTCTCTTATTCTCTATGGCTCTTACTAATCTACAAAAGCTGTTTCTTTTCTTTTGGGGGAAGGTCACACTGGGGATCAAGCTCAGACCTTGCACATGCTGAGCACCTGCTCAACCACTGAGCCACACCCCAGCTCCTCTAACATAATGTGTTTCTTGCTACTAAAATATATTATTGTTTAGCTTTGTTTCTAAACTCTTTTCTTAGGTTTTCCTACCATAGCAAAATACCTGAGACATTAACTTATAAAGATTTAAGTTTGATTTGTCAATGGTTTCACGGGTTCCAGGCCATCACCGGTTGGCCTTGTCGCTTATGGTCCACGGCGAGGCAGCATATCCTGGCAGAATCACAACGTGGAGCAAAACCACTCACCTTTGGCTAGGAACAAGGATTGGCCAGGTTTCCACTGTCCCCTTCAAGGACATGCTCCCAAAAACCACAAGTCCTGACACTAGGCGCCACCTCTTTAAGATTGAATCACATCCTAATAACACCATCTTAAGTACCTAGTCTTTTAAAACAGGAGGCTTTGGTGACCCTCAGCATCCACACAATAGCTTTAGCCCTCTGGAACATGTTCACTGCTTCCCACCTCCTCTCCTCCACCTAAACATAAGCCCCCTGAAGTGAGACACTCAGCCCACGTACCTACGTATGCTCTTTCCTAGTCCCTGCCAGTCCTTGGGCACTACCCACTACCTGACCACGATGATACCTGACCCCTCTGTATTCTCTTTCATGGCCATATTGCCACCCTTTGGGCAGCTCTGGATGTAGCAAGGGGAGGTGAAGGCCAGAAGGCCAAGGAAGAAGGCGGGCAGCATTGTGTTGGGCATCCTGTCACTCTTGGTAGGGCACTGGGCACAGCGCTGCTGTGCTGGCTGGTCACCTATTTATGCGATCACATGTTTCCTCAGAGGAGATTTGGTATCCACCTGTGTCATCCTTAAAAAGCAAAAAAAGAAGGGCAGTAAAACACCATGTCCCAGAACCGCCCCTTTCTGTTCCCAGTAACCTAGGCAAGTCAACAGAACACTGGAAGCAGACCCGACCTGAATGTCCATATAGGTATTATCATGAAGAGCATCATTTCTCTCTCTCTCTCTCTCTCTCTCTCTCTCTCTCTCTCTCTCT